CACATACACATACAGAGACAGACACACTCACAGGCATCGAAGTTGACATATGACCTTAATTCACTTTATACTTGATCAAAGAGGCCAGATGTAGATTATGTATACCGCGTTTTAGGGATTTAAAGGTGAGTTTTCTTGACTTGTTAGCTTGAACTTTGTTGTGACGGTGATACCTTTCATCATATGACCGACGAAAGCTTTGCACTTTTTCACCGAAATCGAAGGAGATTGCCTCGAAAACAACGTCAGCATGGATCTTCCAGTAAAGCCAATCGACAGCTGGTCAAGAGGAATCCGCCGTCGTCTTCTAATGGAACCGACCTTCGAATCGCTTCACCCAACACTTTCACTTGAGATGGAAGTAAGCTCAACAATTATGAAACAAGAGATTCCTAAAAACCCGACTTTTCTTTGCATATATTTTTAATTTTCTTCTGCTTAATTGATTCCATATAAGGGGAAAGATAGAGCCGGATAGTCTTCTTGACCGAGTGTCCATCATATGATGGACGAAAACTCAGCTCGTTTTCACCCGAAACGAGGTAGGAGGTATCGTGGACTAAATAAATGGCTGGAGTACACCGGGATTCAGCCGTCCTTCTCTGGTGAGATCGACCTACGAATCTCTTCTTCAACCACTTTCATACGAAATGAAATTCCCCCCATCAACACACTTCTTTTAACAGAAATAGAAGAAGATGTGTAGTCTCTTGCTTGAAGGCGAACCAGAATCGGGATAGATCACCTTACTTTTAGCTAAGGAATCATCAAAGCACACTGAGGACTTGACTTCTGAATATGCAATTATACACCTCAGATGGACCTCTCCGGCTCATATTTCTTGATTGTTCTTTGCACTTCATATCGCTTCGCCTACGAAAATCAAAATATGGTGTGCCAATGAGCCAAATCAGGTCGAGTCCCACACGATCGTATTTTAATAGAGTTCGGCCTCGATGGCACACGGTTGATCATTGACGCACAAATACATACATCAATGCAAGCACATACATACAAGCATTATTAAGTGTATTCATAGTACCTACATACCTGCATGCATGCATACATATATCAATGTATACAACCATACATACATGCAAGCACACACATATATATGTGAATACATATACACATATGTACATATACATACATATAATCATGTATACATACAGAGAGGCCCACGCACATAAATACAGGAACAGATACAAAAATGGACGGGGGCCACTTGTTGTGCACGCAGATTGAGTATAAACATGCATTCACGAGAATGCAATGTCCACGAGGGGACCCTTCAGGGTCTTGGCCATCCCCAGCCTCCAACTTCACAATGCAGTCTGTCAAAAATACATTTATAATGACCCAAAGTCGGATTGACCGATGCCCTTCGGGGCTTTGACAGGCTGGAGGAGAGCTGTTCCAGGGCGTGCTGCAGTGACATGTGGCCTACGCCATTCAGTCTTGTCGTGGGCTAATTGCCCCACGAACACTCTGGCCTGAATGCACAACAAGCATCTACAAGGCCTCCGGCTGACCAGCATTATGCCAGACCGCTTGAATAAATTAACCTCGCTGAGCTGGCACGATCCAGTCAACGCTTGGCTCGCGGAGGATGGTCAACAATGCGCACCGTCGAGCTCACGCATGTACAGGTCGTGGGTGAAAACTGGCCCAACCGAAGTGAAAATAAACAAGGCCTCTCAACCCGGATGCTTTTAAGTAGCCGTGGGGCGCTCTTTATTCATTCAATCTCGGAGGCTATTCAACGCCTCACCCTGAATCTTCGGCTCCCGTAGCCAACTGGCCTGGCGGATGGATTCGAAAGGAGCCAAAATGGGGTTGTACCACACAGCATGTGTGTGCGTGTGTGTGTGTGTGTGTTGGTGGGTGGGTGTGTGTGTTGCAAAAGACTGTTCCAGCTTGATGAAAAAGCACTAAAATTCTATTTGCAGAATGCCTCTTGTGCCACAGGGTCCCAGTGTCAACAGTGCTCGGCGAAAGACAAATAAATCGTCTTTCTACCAGGATTGGGCTCATTAGTCCAACTAAAGGTCTATACGTGGAGATTCAATTGCTGTATGAATGAGTGCAGGAAATGGGGGTGAGCGAGTGAGTAAGATTGTATTGCCTCGAAGCTTTTACGCAAATGAGAGAGGGAGATGAAGAGGTTAATGGATCCAAATTCCATGCGGATTCGGACAATCGGATGGGTGGGGTGTGAACAATGGAGGAAAAAGGGGACAACTGAGTAGGGTGTGAGAATGCAGACTAAGTATGATTCAGGCTTGCATCAGCCTGCTTAGCAGCTCAGTTGTAAGAGGCCGTACCCTCTGAGACTATATGCAGGTGGATGATCTGACGGTCTTGAGTATTTAGCACGGTTTCTTGTCAGGTGGGGAGGGATTGAATGTGAGGTGAAGATGGCCCGGAAAGACCGAATTGACAACAAAAGTGCAGGATTTGATACCCAATCTCCTGCCTCAATCCAAATAGCTGGCGAACTAGACGACCTACTCATGTCCTTCCAGGAGACTTGGCACGATGATGCTTCGTGGGATGAGAATCCTCGCCACCGATACGCGGTTTATTAATAGTCCCGATTCAGGATAATGCGGCCTCTGTTGTACCACCAAGATTAACCGCCATTGCGTCAGTTGACAGAAAAAACGGAGGGCTTCGATAGCCATTTCGCATCACATGCCAGTGGACAATTTCATTATAAAAGGCTTCACATTGACTTCACTCCAAGCTGAAGATTATTAGAAGTCGTTTGACCTTGTTTTCACAACATGGTCATATTGGTGGGAAGATTTATTGGAACGCCCCTAGTCCGGGGTCCATTGTCTGCATGATTATTTCCAAAGTTAAACCGTAGACGTGGTACATTCCCAAAAGTTTCGCCGGCATCGTCAGTGAGTATTGCCATCCTAAGCACCATACAGCAACTCGTCAAAGAGACAAGACAAGAATGTGCCACGTCCACGGTTCAACTTTGGAAATGATCATGCAGACAATCGACCCCGGACTAGGTGCGTTCCAAAAAGTCTTCCTACCAATATGACCATGTTGCGAAAATAAGGTCAAACAACCTCTATGCAACGAAAGGCATCATCAGTCTTATCACCAAACTAAAATTGGTTAAAAAAGCTGTTTGGCTCACGATTGTGGTATATCTCCTTCCCCAGTCCCGGTATCCACCTACTGCCTATCCCGATATCTCACCCTTTCGCCATCATAACTTGTAACGTTTTTACATTGAACCAGTCCCGAAGTTTGCCTATTTAAGCGTGTTTAGTGAGGCGGGTTCAGTACACAAACAACTGCATTCGACTCCCATCCAAATCGCCAGCTTGCCCTATAAGATCCCTTGCTTTACATAAGCAATTTCATGTAAATTCCACTACACCTCTACGTATATAGGCCCTAATTCACCACATCAATGATGCTGTATTGCTTGATTCTTCTTAGGGTGCCGTGACGGGTATGTCTTAATTGTGCGCACACTTCCATTTCGAATGAAAGTGTGCTGAAGAGATCCGAACGTCTATCCCACCAGAAGACGACGGCGGATTTCCTTCAACTGGCTGTCGATTTGCTGTGTTGGAGCATTCTTGCTGATGCTATTTCAGAGGCAATCTCTTTTGATTTCGGTGAAATTGTGCTAAGCACTTGATCGGCAGATGCTGGGCGTCGTCAGATCAGGTTCTCATCCTTATAGCCATTTCCAAGCTGATGAGTCAATAACACTCATTGGTATATCCCTAAGTCCTGCAAATAGACTCGATATCTAAGCTCTTTGATCAGGTGTGGAGTGATTTGGTTAGTTCAAGTCATGTGTCAATCACAAAGCCTGTAAGTTTGTCTGTGTGTCTGTGTGTCTGTGTGTGTATGTTTTCAACCAGCAGTGATGACTCAAAGTAATTAGAACAGAAAAAGTTACGTCTGTTCTCGGTCATAAAGGTTTTATTACCTCCATCACCCCGTTTATATGTACAAACACATAGCTTAATCATCACTTTGATTGCGCAAATTCGGACATGCGTCTGTTATGTTGATAAGTCTTTTGACCTCATGTAAGAGAGAAATAATGGAGAAAAAAGAGCAAAAAATTGCTTGTGATTAGAACCAAGGCAAGAAAAGAAGAGACTAGTTGAGTGACCTCTTTTTTGCAGGCGGCTCGAAACCCTCTCTATTCCTTTGTATATGAATTAAGCACAAGTATAGTGGTTGTTTGACCTTGTTTTCGCAACATGGTCATATTGGTAGGAAGACTTATTGGAACGCA